TTTTGACGTGTCAAACAATATCGACCACAATTCTACTGGCTCAGTTTCGTTGTTACTAGCTATATATGTACTGCCACCGAGGAGCTATATTAATCGGTATTTAGATAAAGATTTAATTAAAATAAGTATGAGAGGATTGTTTGCGATAAGTAGGGCAAGTGCGGATGTATATAATTATTATTATATGTATACAAGGAACAGGTAAAGATAGCGGAAGGGAATAAGTTTAATAATTGATGAATGGCACACAAATAAATCTATTTCTCAGTACTACAATTTTCTGACAAACGGGCGAGGCACGAATTCTCTCGTATAACAGCTGAGACATCGCGTTGTCTGTAAGAGTTTCGCTAGATTTCGACAATGGATACAATAAAATGATTCGTGATTCACGCACACACGCATACATGTCGAGACGCACGAACGATATAAAAAATGTACGATAAAAAAAGGAGAAACATCAAGTAGTTGAGTACCTAAACCTGTGTGCAATTATATCTGTTAAGTATTTACACAACTTGGTGGAACCTCCGACGGCCAATACTAGATTTCATTTATCTTGAAAATAGAACCCGACCTCCATGCATGTATCTCGAAATCTACCTAATCGTACAAATTAATCTCACTTGTCACTAATTGTTGTATAAAAAAGAACCCTTCTCTCCTCCAAAAATATTTATATATCGTGCATAAGAATATTATATATTCCTATATCCATGTCAATTTCTACGACTTATCTTCGACTTAGTTGTCATCTGCAGCACTTCTGCGTAAGACATCTCCAAACGTTTTAATCGAGCCACTTCCTGCGAGGCCGTACTCGGTTTGTATACCTTATAACCGAAGCTAGCGTTGTTCTCTTTCTGTTCGTTGCTGTTACGCGAGCAACTGTTATTATTCTGTCTTTTATCAGAATTCGGCGACCTGTTTTTGTTCGTGTAAGAATAGCTTCCGTTAACCATACTTCCGTTCTGATTCGCGGTTGTGAATAGTCTGAATTTCTTCTTTCCACTATATTTAGGCGAGATATGGTTTGGATTAACAGTCGGTACCACGTCGACTATCGTCGATTTCTGTTTCCTACCCCTCTGCTTTTTCACCGGCTTCTTCGTCCCATTCATTAATAAATAATCCTCGTACTCTTGATTCTTTGGTCCTTCTTTTGAGTCTTCGATTTTCCGTTCGTCGACCCCGTTCGATGACTCCGGCATCTGCAACCTCTGAACTGGTTCTGACAGGGGCAATGATAAAACGGAAGACACTACGCTCTTATTATCATCGGTAGTCTCGCCGAGGACAATGTCCTCTTGGAGAGTCGATGATTGCGGGTAGGATAAGGTCGTCGAGTTCTGATTATGGGAATCGTTGGGCAGCGAGAGTTTCTCGCCCTCGTTCTTACCCTCCGCGTTTCGCTTCACTACGTCTAGTATATTTTTGAAAATTTGTCTATGTTCTGCTGGCGTTCTTTCGAACCGGCTCTCGAATGGGCTGTTTTCGTTATAAAAAATGCTGAACTTGCAATCGTCCCCGTCGGCTATCGAGCAGAGAAAAAAGCCTGCCCTGTCCTCGGTCTGAGTCCCCCTATTGGTGGTTTCGTCCATGTAACCGGAGGAGAGCGTCTCTGCTTCGGAGAACTCCGTCGGTGTCGAGGAAAACGATTTTTTGTTGCACACCGTATCAATTTTGCTCGTCTGGTCCTGCTGCTGCGTCTTCGGCGCAGGATCCGAAATCTTCAAGCTATTTAACTCACAGGACATTTTTAATTCGTCCTGCAACGACATGCAAGTGCTCGGAGTACTGTTCTTCCGTTTGACTGCCGATTGCCTGTGAACTTGGAGCAAGGCTTCATACTTTTCCACGAGCACTGTATAAGGACCGTTCGGGTCCTCCGCAACTGTGTCCTTGTAGCTAGAGTCCTGAGATCAAATACATTCGGGTGTGTTAGGTATGAAGGGTTTGAGATGATTGTATAAAATAAAACTGTAATAAACAGATTCTTTAAAATATTGGATATTTGTTATGACATCAAATGGGACGACACAAGTTTTTATGTTAGACCCAGAGTTAGCGATACGCAGGAAGTCTGTAAAAAAAAAACGTGGCGGAGGAAAGGCGCAAGGAAGCACGCCAGATTTATAGGATATTAAATAATACAAACAGCTTGATTAGTTCTACGTTATTTATTTAAAATCATATAAATCTGGCACTTACATTGCACTTCGACTAGATACGCTACATGACAATACACATTCAGGATTAGTCGATTATGCTCGACATCGAATTACAATAGCAAGGATGTTAAAACGAAAGATGCGAACTTAAAAGAATAAGCAGCGTTAGGAACATAATACGACAACATAACTACGATAGTCTTTAATCTCGAATCACACGTTCATCACAACTACTATGCACACATTAATAACTACACGTAATTAAATGATAATTCCGTATTAGGTCAAATAAGCTTTTTACTATCCTTCGACGGTACGAACTTCCTCAAAAGAAAAATAGGTATTTTAAAAGGCATCAACAGTAACGGTACGAGGTATTCATTTTTTATACAACGTATAGTGCCGCGGAAGCAAACGAAAATTACTGAGATAGGTTTTCGTACAAGCGTGAACAAAATCCACCACAATGAACTGAATATGTTATTCTGTTTATTTTTCTCGTGTTCCCTAATCTGTGTTGTCTCCTAAAGAAAATAAGGCTTTATTAATTAAAATTCATTTAAATCTGAATTCGTTAAGTATAATTTAAAATATTTAAATGACTCTCGATCGTAGATTTGCTACTCATGAAATGAAATGAACCAGTTGCCGTTTCATACGTATGTTAATCATTAAATTATGACGTACATTGTGTATCAACGTACATTGACTATGAGACGAAATTCTGTTTCTGATGTTCGATAAAGTGTGTGATATTTAATTACATATTTAAGCCAACAAGCAACTAAATCCAATATAAAGCGGAAAAAAAATTCAAGCACACTTCTTTTGATAAACTAAGCGTTGCCGATAAGGAATGATAATTACCTGAGAGAACGACTCGCTGTCTGGTGGACTATCATTTGTATCGGTTCTAGAAATATTGATCTCATCGTACTCCTCTTGATTCAACATAACAAAGAGATCATCGTGAGTTCTTGACTCCATTCCCCTCAAACACCTAGCACATAATTGTCCTTGCCTGTAACGAGACGCAATGAATGAACATTTCTATGAAATATTAATACAATACGAGCATTTCGAAGGAATAAAAAAATCTTCTCTACTCACCTAACTTCTTCCAAAGTATTTATTTCCTCTTGAAGATTTTTTATGGCCTGGGCTTTGTTGCGCCAATCTTTCAGCTGTTCTTCCAAATCGTTACTCTCCTGCAGAAGTGCAGCTAATTGTTGTTCGAGCTCGCTAACTTTCTTCTGTTCCCTGGCTCTCTGATTTTGTGCTTCTCGCAACTGCCTCAACAGTTCCGTGACCTCTTCCTCGTTTATTAACACGGCTGGGGAAGGCTTCTGGCCGGATAGGGCAGCGCTCTGATTAAAACGTTTTACGATCACAGTGATTTATGTACATCGTACGTTCATTTGAATACTTTTGCATAAAAACTTCATTTGTAAAGTGGGAAAAGCGGAAAACTCGAGGTGGAACATTCAATTAATCAAAAGAGAGTAGTTCTCTAGGAAAAATTGCAACTGCTAACGATGAAATCGAGATATACGACGACGAATAATTATCCGACGATTAAATCGCCGGGTATAGAATACAAATTCCTCTGAATAATTAATAAGTAATTACCTGTTTTATGCTGCCACTGTGCGTGACCGGTGCTTTCCACAATTGGGTCTGAGTTTGTATGGTGTTCGTCGATCCGTCAGCGATCTTTTGCTGAACGAGGGCGTCGCGTTCATTAGTTACTTCGTCCAACTTCTTCTGCAGGTCGTCGATGCGAGCTTCCAAGTTCTCGATCGTCAGGCGTTTACTGCATCGATAAATTGGAGGCACAAGTAAGAAACAAGCGATTTTCATGAATCACACAAAATATAATGAAATTTGGAAATATTCTATCGATTGATTATTGAAATTTTCCTACCTTTTAATAAGTTTGCTATCGTTAGCGTGTTCAATTATGAGACGATGATTCGCGCGTTCTAAGTTCTGTATGCTGACTTCCAACTGTTCATAAATTTTCATTCGAGAGTCGTTCACTTCCCTTAAAGCTGCGGTTTGTTTTCTCGTATACTACAGAAAAGAAACAAGGATATTAAAATTCCCGTTACGATAAGAATTTCTATAATCGACGATATTGTATAATTACTTCTATTTCTTGTGCCTGTTCCTCTATGGTGCTTTCGTGCGCTTTGAGCAGGTTTTCTAATTCCTTATTTCGTTCTAAAAGCGTTTTACCGAGTTCCGCCGCCAGCTGCAGATCTGAAAACGACATTTCAAGTTTTTCCAAACGATTTTTACTACTTAGTATTCAGCTAGGATTTGTACTTCGACTCATTAGATGTTTGTCATTATTTATGATTTGCTTTAATTTAATTTAACTGAATTAAAACATTAATGACGACCGAACGTTCGTAGAAAACTCAGTGCGTGGAATAGAATTATCCTTAGGGCCAAGGACCTTCGCTACGAACGAAGTCAATTATAGTTTCCTCTCATTCAGCTTGTCATTAAACCTTCTCTACTTTCATGTCAGTGCAACGACAAATTATACCTATTCTCTTTTCTAATCCACACAACAATACCTGCGAGAATACATTTGTGATCCGAGGATCTCACGAGTAAATAATAATTATAATTATGATTGCATTTTCAACGCAATAACACCGCATGTTCCTCGTTCCTCGTTCTACTTTATAATTATAGAAATTGCAGGAGAGAGACGAGAAACACTTCCTAAATTTGCATACAAATCGTACGCAGTCGTAAATTACGTTTCGTAGGAAGCGGGAACGCTGGTGACGACGTGTACAATATATAATTTATTATAATTAATACTAACTGAAGTTATATAAAGAAACAAGAATCAATTGGAAATCTATAAGAAAAGTTTATGTACCTTAGAAAAACGCATTTCCTATAATTAAAAATAGTGCATTCTTCTTCCAATTT